TCGAGTGCGCGAAATGCAGGCGAGAGTGCGATTTGTGTCTGTCCGGCGCAACCCTCTGCGGAGATCGTGCGTGTCGAGTGCGCACAGTGCAGGCGAGAGTGCGATTTGCGTCTGTCCGGCGCAACCCTCTGCGGAGATCGTGCGTGTCGAGTGCGCGAAATGCAGGCGAGAGTGCGATTGGACCTGGTCCGGGACACCTCTGCGGAGATCGTGCGTGTCGAGTGCACGAAATGCAGGAGTTGCGGCTTTGTAGTACCACTGTAGTACGCGGAGCAAGCTGTGGAGCTGGAAGCTGAGAACTGGCGACTGTCTAGTACAACGTAAGTACACGGAGTATCTGGGGAGCTGGAAGATGAGAACTGGCGACTTTGTACTACAACTGTAGTACGCGGAGCAAGCTGTGGAGCTGGAAGCACACATAAGCGTTTTGTGTGCGCTTCGTCCTCCTTACGTTTTAAGCTCTTTTGTTGGATACTTGAAGTGACGCTGACTTCTTACGAACTTGGTGCCAGGTGGTCATAAACTGACTATTAGCTTGAAGAAGCTGCTGGGGAGTCGAGCTGTGGAACAGCTGGAGTACCGGGAACAGCGAGAGGTAGTGATGACTGCAACAGATATGCCTACAGAGTATGTTGCTCCCGAGGTTTTGCCTTTCATATTGTGTTCACCTTGATAGTAAGAAGGCACCGTACTTGAGGCCGAGGAGGAGACTGCAGCAAATCTGACAGAGAGGCACCCAGATTCGTTACAAAATCACTATTTTGGAAATCATGCTTTTGGGACCAGGATGAAGCGCACATAAATGTACTGTACGGGCGCTTCATCTGGCTTGCGCTGTACTGTCACTGGATGTGAAACTCGATGCAACAATGCAACGCTTGGCTCCAGCTTCGCGACCACACATCATCGCAGGTCATTACCGCTGCTGCTCCATTGTTTGAAGGGCCTGTCCGCGAGAGTGGAACTGATGACTTGAAGCGCACTTACAGCGTACTTTCTGTTTGTCTGATACTTGAAGTGAGACTGACTTGCTTTGAGCCTCTGCTCGCAGGATATCTGCTCGCCGCTTGTTTTTGGGACCAGGATGAAGCGCACACAAATCCATTTTGTGTGCGCTTCGACCTGCTTACGTTTTACTCCGTTTTTTGGAAATGGGACTGACTTGTTTTGAGCCGATTGAAGTGAGACTGGCTTCTTACGAACCTAAGACATATCTTTTCTCTCGCCTCTGTCCATTTACATCTTCGCACGCTCGCATCCACAGATCTACCTCTCCACCTCCATACATCTACACATCTGTGTCGCACCTGCACATCCACACTGTCACTCCTTCACATCCACCCTTTCTTTCTCTCTTTCTATATATCCTTTCGACAGTGCTGGACAATCACATGTCTCGCTCTCGGGCCACCCGTCGTCTAGTTTGTTTTGTTCTGCGGGAGCATCTGGGGAGAGGCGGTGGCGAGAGTTTACCTTCTAGGTGCGTCCTTTTAGCCAGAACTGCAGATTGAGAGGTGCTGCAGCTGCAGAAGCAACTCAAGGATCGGGGCGACCTCTTGCAGACTGTAGCTACTGGCCCATCACCAGCGGAATGGCGTTCTTGCTGAAGTCCATCGCGCTCCTGACACAGTTCGGCATTTCCTTGTCTTTGGCACCAGGGGATTGTGCTTTCGTTGGCATCTATGGAGAGAAGGATGATTTTGCCATCCTTTTGATGGATGATGCAGATGGGGAGCAAATCTCTTTGACCGATGGGAATTTCAAGGACAAGGACTTTCAATCCAACGAGCTGGCCCGGGCCAAGGACCACGTGAAAGATGCTGTCAAGGGAACCGTGTTGAGGAAGTGGGACTTCCAGACCGAAAACGGCTGGTCCTTCGCAGCTCCATTGGCCCTCACCGTCTACAAGGGAAGCCCATCATCTCCTACCCCCTTGTGTGGCGTCAGCTTGGATGGGAAGGCAGGCAACATGATGGTTCGCAGGCTGGATGATGAGGTGGCCGCACTCAATCTTGGTGAGACTGAGACCGCTCAGTATGCTGGACCTATGGTTGGCAGCAAGGAAGAGCTGTTGGACGGCATCAGCAACCCCATGAACTGGCTCCGCAATGCTGGTGTGCGCAAACTCTCGGGCTTCAGCATCGCCAGCGCCAACAGCACCACCAGCATGACCACCACCACCTCGGGCGATATGTCGACCACCGATGAATCTGAGACCACCTCCATGGATGATGGCACCACCGAGGAAGAGGATGCTGCAGTGCATGCCACCGCTTGCGGCTTGGTTCTCGCCCTCACTTTGGTGATGTAAGAGACATTTCGCACAGCTTGGCCATTGAGTAGCAGTGAGTAGAGATGACCAGAGAGCGGCCTTTGTGTTTGGAGCAAAGTCTTCCAAGCACTTCATTTTCTTTCTTGCTTTACCTCGGCACCACGAAACCCAAGTCTGCCAGGCTTCTTTGATGACACCAAATGTAAGAGCAACATGCCACTCACAGAGTTTGAGACCATCTCACAGAATGATGGATGTTGGATGGTCGTCAAGGCACTGAGTATCATTGAGTCCACTCTGGCATTGACTTCCTCGGGTCATTTGTTTCAAGAGTAGCATTGCAGGTCCAGGTGCGGGCGATTTATTCTGTGAAAGCTCGTCTAAAGCAACATTGTTTTGTTTCAACTCCTTTTCAAGGCGTCAGTCCTGGAGCTGCAACAAATTTGCATGCACCACGAGAAACTTGCGGGACTGTGAAAGCAGAAGCAGACACTCGTCTTACGAGATGTTTGGCGAGATGCTGCAACGGAGAATGCTTTCAAAGAATGTTTTGCAGTAGCTTGATCGTAGCTGATGAAAAAGTATTCCTCAATGAGGGCTCTCCCACATCAAGGATGAGTCCAGACCAAGTTTGCAGTTTGTGTCCAGAAACGCATGAGGTATTGAAGAAAGTTTTCGTTTCATGTTCTTCGTGGACGCCTATCGTTCCATCTCATTCCATCTCATTCCATCTCAGGCTGAGAAGGAGCCGGAGGCCTCCAAGGCCCAGGTGGCCGAGGCCCCGAAAGAACCAATCCCTGAGCCGGGCGCCACTGAGAAGTGATCGATGCAGATCCGGTCCTGGCACGAGGCCGCCGACGACGAAGAAACATGGGAGTGATGATTGATGGGGATGACAAAGAGCGATGAACATCCTGAAAATGAAGCAGATCGTCATAGATCATGGGTGAATTCATATTGGGAATTCAGGTGTTTACACTTTGACCAAGGGATTTCTGGGTCCTTATTCTTTTGGAAATAGAGCGGGGGTTATTGTATTGCCACATGGTAGCGCTGACATGCAATGACTGCCAGGTGCCAACGATCATGTTTTCGCAGGGGCTCGAAGCAAACTGGCTCGAGGTGGTCGAACACTCCAAAGAGTTTCATGGCAAATGTCAAAAGACACGTGACAAGTATAAACAGAACTCAAAAAGGACTGACAGTGTGGCCAAGCGGCTCCAATGTGGCCAAACGTTCTATGTGTTCAACGGCTCTCGAAAATTCGATCCTAAGAACATCCTCCTCAGAAAGTGTAAGCCAAGAACTTCTCCCTGTGGTTGACGTGGATCAGGCCAAGCAAGCGTGGCGCGATTCTGGCAAAGTGCCAGAATAAGCTGAATTTTAAAATTCTACCTCAACAGGTGAGCTGCTGGCACAGTGGCACCAACTGAACTGCCTGTGATGAACAACTTTCTGGTCCAATGGCACCCCATGATCCTACGTATACACGTCCGGGTTTCCAGGTGAGAACAGCTGCACAGAGTCGGCAGGGCGGGGAATCACTGGTGCTTAACGTGAAAATCAACACGAAACGGATCAGTGGATGGCAACATGTGGATCAAGGTCGAGGGCTCCTGATTGATGCTGTGAAAGGTCTGAGGTGTTGAAGTGTGCCACAATGGACTCGAAATGGCTTGATCAGGTTCCAGAGAAAGCAAACACGGCACTGAAAGAGCAAGTAAAAAGAGACAAGAATATTAGTGGCGGATCACTGCTTAGCGGTGCTTGAACTTGAACACTCAGCGTGGATGTTGGAGTGTGGCGATCTGGAGGTCTCAAAATGTAGCGGCACGGCACAGATATTCTCGGAATGCTTGCAGTAGTACAAGACCCGCAAAAGATTCGCACATGAAACATGGTGCATCCACAAGCAGCCACTGCTGTTTTCTGTTCTTAACAGCCACGGCATGCCGCGGCGACACTTCTTAAGCCGCTACGCGGCTTTTCCACGTCCTCGGTGTTTTGCGTTTGTGTTTGGTGTCGTTCCACCAGCTCACCGGCCAATGGCTTCAAAGCCTGGCTCCTTCGTAGCGTCAGGAGGGTGCAGAAATCGCCGCTCGGGCCGCCGAAAACGCCTCGTCTAGGGGGCGTCACTGGTGAAAGGCCGTGGCCAGCGAGTCATAGAGGCGGTTAGAGGGGGTCAAAGGTGTTGATGTGAAGATCTCTGAGAGGTTGATGAACAGAGGGACTTGCTTCTAAAGAAGGTTGTTGCTTCTAGACGATTCTAGTGGTCTGGATTCTAGATGAGAAGAAGATCACCAGAGGCTAGATGGAATTCCTGTCTTCAGACGCCGGAATTCTTGGGGCGTCCATGGCTCATTCGTGCTCATTCCTTCAGGGCCCCACAGGCTGCGATGGCCCTGGCGACGCGGAAGCACCGTGCCACGTCACGTGCACTCTCAGGGCGTGCAGATTCGGACGTTGAGCAAAAGACCGGGAAGGGGTGGACAGGTAGCTCTTGGGCTCCTTTCAATGAGCTGGATGAGCCCAAGAACTACCTGGAGGAGCCCAAGAGCTACCTGTCCTAGTTCTTGTAGTTTGGTAGTTCTTGGGCTCCAGAGTTGGATGAGTTACAAGGAGTTCCTTTAAATTCCTTTACTGGACATCGTTGTGTTGTCCTAGACTGCAAGATTGAGTACCCCGACACTACTTTCAAACCCAGAATACCAAAGACATCCAAAGACATCATGCTGTAGCTGCGTAAGGCGATGTGGGCCTCCAGGGGCCGCCGCGGCGCGGCGCGCAGCCGCGGCGCTGCATTTCTCCTTCCGCCACGGCGAAGTGGTTTGGAAGGTAGTGCAGAGAGCTCGTACCAGCTAGCTCCTTGACCTAACTAGCTGGTACGATGAACCGAAGAGCGAGCGACTGAGGGTCGCCGGGGGTGGAGCATCCGGGATCTGTTCGGAGCTACAGGGAGTTCCCCAACCCCTTGACAAGTCAAGACATGCCTTTAAACTCCGTGGTGGCACCGTGTTTTGTTCCGTGTCTTTCGAGGATCTGAAGGTCGAGGTGTCATGTGCATGTCATGCCCAGCCGGAATCGGTGTCTTTGGCTCAACCGCTCGGCACGAGCACGCTACGAGCAGAAGGAAACATCGAGATCGCTACGAGGCAGGTGAACCTGGGGTTGGAGAGCTGGGTGGCTCGGTGCCAACAAGTGTGAATTTGTGGAGGTCTTACAGTGAGCTGAGAGAAAGGTGTCCCTTCCTGACGAAGGAACAAGTATCTCCAGAACAGATAATGATAAGCACGAAAGAAAGAAAGAAAGATAGATAGATAGATTATGAACATATACTGTGCATATAGATTCAGAGAACTTGGATATCCAGAACCTGCCAGACGTGACCTCGTCTCAAATGAAGATGTCGCTTGCATGGCAAAGATGCAAAGGATTCATAAGTTCCCCGTGTTTGGATGGATTTATGTGGTCACGAATGCAAATAAGAACGAAAAAAAGCAACAATAGGTCACGTTTGACCACAAAAAATACTACTATGTTCATTGAAAACACTAACGATGTTAATGAGTTTGATGAAGTATGAAGGAGTCTCTCAATGACTTGTTTTTCCAAAAAGAATCAATAAGTATAGAAAGAAGCGAGAAGCAATAATGGGCTTTTGGGGGTTAAAGTTAATATAAGATAATATTACATTGTTTGGATGTTTCTATCGCCAGAAAATAGTAGATTCAAGGACATGAATGATAGGGTTTGACATTCTTAAGAAATCGTCCAACGTGTCCCCGTCTATTGGCATTCAATGATATTATTGCGACAATTACATAAAACTACTGACAATAAAACTACTGAATATAAACCTACTGATTGAAATCCAATCACATAATAGAGAATTGACTGTTTGTTTGTCTTTCCAATTGACCTTTGAAATGGAGTCAAGAAGAAAGGATTGGCGTCATCCCCCTCTCTTACCTGTCACTGCCTCTCTCTCTCTCTCTCTCAGAAACTTCTCTTCATTCCTATCTTGGAAGTTGCTTCGGTTTGCTTCAGAAGTACCAGGGGTCTATCCGAGTGCTTCGTCAGGGGCCCCCTCTCGGTTCGTGGCTGCCCTCCACCTGGTGAGGTCATGGCGGCTGCCCTCTGGAACGATCTGAAAGGTTGGGGCAACCTGGGCAGAAAGGAGATCAAGAACCAGCGAGAAACGCCACGATATGCATATAGTGGTGGCTATAGTGGTGGGTGTAGGGAGGATCTTCGCACTGGCTTCCTCCAACTGTCCTTTCCCGATACCATCCAATAACATTCGATCTCCGAAGAAAGCGCGAAAACGCCTTTGGGCGTCACCGGACCGGAGGGCCAGCCCTCTGCCCCTGGCCAGCCCGGACCAGTGGAATTGATACCTTGGCTGCGCAAAGCCGGCACCACACGTTGCAACTGGCCGAAGCGCCATGTCCATGTGTCAAAAGACCCCAAAGACCCCCAAAGCCATGGCAGTGCGAGAGTTTGAAGAGGCCCCGGCGGACCACTTATGCATGATGTGATATGCCTTGCATATGTCCATATATGTCCATATACTTTGCTACTAGGAACAAAGGGCATTATGCCCATATACTTTAATTGTATTGCCCTCTTGGTTGCACGGCGTCCAGGCCATCGAGTAAGACACGTTTGCAGGAAATAAACTGTGATGGCCGATGGCCCAATGATAGCATTGGTTTTTCATGGTGATCAAGCCGCAAGCATCCTGTAGCTTAATTTATCCTGTGCAAACCAGCAGAATGACATTCCATGAATATGACCTCATGTTGTTTTTGCTTCGCCTGGGTCTCGGGACCGTTGGCACGCCACGCGTCGTGTGTCGTGTGCCGCCGGTTCTTTTCTTCGTTCTGACCTCGTTCCGCCCACACCGTGCTGGGACAAGGTCAGGTGACCAAGATGGGATCCACCCACTTGCGGACCTTGATGCAAGACCAGGCGGAGACTTCAACCGGAGACCGGGCTGGGTGACATGGGGTGACTGCTTCACTCATCGACGCTGCTTGACGTGGGGTGACATGGAGTGACTGACCGGCGTTGGAAAACACGGGGAGACAGACCCGTCGGTCCGTCGTCTCACCTTCGTTGGCCAACTCACCGTGATGTTCCTTCCGCTTTTCTCAGTCGCCCCAAGCGAGGCCGATCGGTTCGTCAAGCACAAGTCCCTCACTTTGATTGATCCCCTACCTGAGGGAGAGGTTTCAAACTAAGCGAGGCCCCTTAGAGCCCTAAGCGAGTGAAAGTCTCAAGAGATGCCTGGATAGATGTGAAGAGGCCGCACCTGTCTTTTGAAAAGCAGGTGGGACCTCGTTCAAAGGTCTCTCTCAGTTCCTACCCAAACACTTCGGGCACAAAAGCAATAGACTGACAGACCACAACCCGTCGGTTCGGCAGATGACTTATTGTTGAACCAAAGTGCAAGAAAAAGGCGCGATACCAGGCGCGAAACGACGAGATGTTCGTCACCAGTGGCCAGATGGCCAGCGGCTCAGGATGGCTTGAAGACAAAAAGTTGGACAGAACCGATTCGGTTGGAAGATTTTGGGGGGCGCATTGCTTTACATGCAACAAATGCGCTAAAGTATCAAACGCTAAGCCCGTTGAAACCTCGTAGATTTCACAAGCTGAAGACTTCTTTGTTCATGTTCAGGCAGGTTGTGACGCACAGCTTGTGGGTGTTGCTAAACATGGTAGCCCCGCCCAACTTCACCCTAGGATAGGGAAAATACATAACCTCAAACCTTCAGGTACTTCGGGTGTACTTTTCCAGGTCGCCTCTGGAAGGTGGATGTTGTTCTCTCAAGTTGCCGCTGGAAGGGAAGACGCCAAGGGATTTGTGATTGTTCTGGGATCGTTTTGATATGTTTTGATCCTGCTCAGGTCTTGGACTATTGTCGACAAAAGGTTGACGTCGAGACCATGTGGGAGTGCCCAGCAACCTGCCATGTGGATGCCAAACGATGCCCTTTTGTGCCTGTTTCGGATCTTCAAAAACAGATGTGGTCCGAGAATGTCCGAGTGAACGAGTTCTGAGTTCTAGTGATCGAAGTTATTCCTTTGAAAGGACGAGGACTCTGATCTGCCGTGCCTGCCTCTTTCAAGCAGCTGCTTTCAGCACTTTGCTGGCAAAATCATTCTCAAATCTCCTGATAGATGGTTCATTCTCAAAGAGTCGACCCTTTCCTTCCTCTCAAAGTTGGGATGATGATGGATGTCTTTCTTTCCCAAGTGGTCCGAGCCTTCAGGTCCTAAAACCCACCATGACCGGGCACCCCACATCTACCTGCCTTCATAGAGAGCAGCTGTGCAGTTCGGGCACCGGCTGTGCCAGGAAAAAGCTCTTCGAGCTCGCCGAGAAGGCGGTTTCTCTCCGGGTCGTGCGAACCGTGCGACCGCGGGACGTGGAGGGAAAATACGGACCAGTCCGAGGGATTGGAAGACGACCCTCGAGTCATTCAAGAGAGAAACACGTCGAAGTGGTCGTTGCAATCGAGGGAGGTTATGAATCGTTTATGAAGACCCTTGAGTCTACATACATGATCCTGCCAAGTCAAACAGCCAAAAGTGCTTTGTTACCCTTGCTGCTTGGGAGTCAACCTAGATAATTAATCATACTCCGACATAGCCCGAGATGTTTGGACAACACACAACTAGGACCTCATAGCTTTGGTAGACGCCTGCAGCCGCCCTGCGTGTTTGAGTGGCCAACAAGATCCGAAAAGAACAAACATGGCCAAAGCTACGGCAGCACCTCAAGCCGTTTGGCACTTTTTGCCATGGAAATGGCGTCATGCCCTAGTCACTCACCATGGAAATTGTCTGTGTTAAGTCTGCACACAAGCTGCCACCCTTTAAGGAATCTAAGCACAAAAATTGGGTCGCTTAGATGTGCCCCTGCTCAATAGCCCTGGATCTTGCCATCCAAGATGGAACTATGTGGTCCAACCAATTCATGTTGGCCATTCCTTTTGCCAACAGTGAACGCAGGTCGAACGCAACACACGTGTATGTATATAGTCCTTATCAACTGATGTGGACCATGTTTTTCAAAAGTGACCCTTTTTGGAGTCCCCAGGTTACCTTTTTTAGAGGCCTGTTTGTGATCTCAAACCAGGGATCAAGTGACCGAACACTTGGAAAAACCAGGGAGACGAATCCCTTTTGTCTTTGGGCCAAAGGAGAGATGTCCTTCTCGAAAAGTTCCACTGTTTGGGTGGCCAAACGGAGAAGTCATGTGGCCAAACGCGCGGTGGAGAGGCCGGCGTGGAGCAGAAGAAACAGAAGATGCCCGAGTCCTCAGTTGCAGGTTGCTCTTTGAGTCTGCAATGTGTGCTTCTCTGAATGTAGACCCAAGAAGCATTCCAGTTTCCTCGTCTTGGATAGATGGGTGCGGGTGAAAACTTGACGACAATGACGACAACAACAACAACAGCAACAACAGACTAAAAGCAAGACAGGGGAGTCAACATGTCCAGGATACCCCCCAAAAAACCTTCTTTGAGAGTGATGGGAGCTGTCACTTACTACATTTGCTTGGCAAAATATATTAGTTATTGAAGGGGGGTGATGGTCACCAGTTGCTTTTCTTCCCCGAATTGTGAGCATCCACTCATCTCCCAAACTGTCGATGTGTCTCCTTCCAAGCGTTTGATGGACGTCCCCCTCCCTGTGTCACGAGGTTTTCAGTGTCTCCGAGGTTTTCAGGCGAAAAGATCAATGAGACCGAAAATCGAGCAGCGATGGGCTGAGAGCAACCAGCAATCCAGCAGCGATGGACATCTGCGCTGCGTCATGAAGCGATCGGTGTATTCTGATGTAAGTTGGATACCTCATGGTACCGAGCAACCCAATGTGCCGACTGCGCAAAGTACCGGGTGGGGAGGAGCAACCCAAAGTATGAGCTTGGTTGGAGGTCAGCCAGTGTTACCTTCAGTTTTCAGGTCTAGTCTAAGTTGTTGTTGGGCGGTTGTTGATACGCCAACCCTGTTGGGCTGCAGTCAGCGTATCAAACCGACATACCGGTCATCTCCACTCAGTGCGACGTCTACGCAGCGTGACACGGCTGATGGTCCTCCTTTGGCCTGTTTGGCGCCAGCGTGAGTTTGGTAAATTTTGGCACCTCATTGAACAGACATAGAGGTGACTCAAAGAAAACAGAGGTCCTTTTTCGAACACTTCTCAAACGAAAAGCCTTGTCTGGCCGTTTTCATATTGAGACATATCCATACTTATATCCTAGAAGATGTTCAAAGCAAGACTTGCAGCCGTGCAGGGATGAATGTTGAAATCTCTCCTCACTCAGATAGCAAACTGGATTTTGGTCACTTGTGGTGTCGGAGTTGCTCAAAGTAAACCATGCAAATTAGCTGGGATGGTCTTTCCAGCCACTGAACGGGACTACTTAGCCATGTACACCCAGAAAACCCAGCTAAAGCAACAGACAATCCTTGAAGGAAGTGTTCCCCTACACCAAGACAAGAAGGTTCCTTTTCCATGGGTCTATGTGCCAATTGCTTTTCTGCACGCCATCCCTGGCACGGACTGAGGTGCTTCATTGCGCCCTCCGGGCACCTAGAACTGCCAACATCTCAGTGGATGGCCAGAACGTCGTCCCTGAGGCCAGGCAGATGCAGAGTAAGTCAGGAGGTTGGCATGGATCCCCGGGATACTGTGTGGCTGCGAGAAACATGTATGTTACCACGACAGCCGCGCACATGCTACCACACCCTCAGACGTGACGCTACATCAGTCATTGCCCTAGCAGAATGAAGTCGGAGCTCTCGAGGTGGTTGTCCTGCTGTGTGGGTGGGTGGACGGGTGGGTGTCTATGCAGGAGGCCTTTAGACTCGCCATCCATAGGGATAGGACTGGTAACATGGGCGCATCGGTGAATTTTACCGCTGGGTTGCTCTAACCAGCTTGAGCTTCCAGATGTTCCAAGACGTTCCCATGCTGATCTGCGTTAACCTAAGAGAACCTAAGTGAACATCCCAAAAATATGAGCAAAAGAATTGGTTGCACCATTTGCTTTCGTAGGCTTCCAGGCTGCTGAAAAAAACGCAAGGCAAGTTACTGGATGTGGTGCCCTTGGATTCCGCAGCCTTTTGGTTCAGACGGACGATCTTCCAGTGGTTTTGGACATGACAGTGGGTCAAAAACCCATGTGAACTCGGTCCACCGGGACGGGTCCGTTTGGATCAGACCCGGGTCTCCCAGGTCCGCGCTTTGCCGCGTTTGGTCCACGCGTTCTCTGCGCTGTGCGACAGGTCTGGAAGGTCTTGGATGCCATGAAAGGCTTTTCCGACAAGGCCAGTCGAAGTAGTCGAGACGAGTGGGAGAAAGATGGCTGAAAAAGGGGGAGGAAAACAAGTTGGCTTGGGAGGAGCCATGAAAACGAAGAAGAATGAGTGACAATTCACGATTGGAAGGGGGTTAAAGATGGCGAACCAGAACTGTTTCTTCTGCACTGCACCAGGTCACCAGGGCAAAAAAGGGTCAAAGAACAATCCCTGAAGATTCAGTAAGTTTCGAACTCTGGTACTTTGGTTCCAATTGCATTTCTAGAGAGGGAGCGTGCGTGTCTGTGTTTCTCCATTGTCAAAAACCATCAACGACCAATGGTTTGCTCGCTGTGCTCCTTGCATTAGCAGCTGGTGCTGGTCGTCAGTTGGTTTTGAGCGCCACACATCTCTATCCTGGCAAAACGTGTCTCATCGTCCTTCCACCCACCAGTCCTTCGATGTCCTTCAGGTCCGCTCGGGCGAATGGAAGGGCCACACTGGCAAGCCCCTCACGGACGTGGTGTGCATCGGGTGCCGCCGACCTATTCGAGCCGACCATCCGATGCTGTCCGGTTCGGAGGTTCCGATGTTTTCATCAATCTGTGCAATGCGGAGCGGCTACAGAGTCTTGGTTTTCTTGTGTCTAGTCAGGTTGTGTTATGGCCTGTAGGTTTGAGGTGCTTTGGGAGATGTACTGAAAATTGAAGATCTGTCCTATAAAGAAAGAGAGGCGTTTTCATGGTGAACTCATGTCTTTATAGGATGTTTTTAGGATTTTTTAGGATATTTTTTCGCTTTCATTAGGTGGCTTCTGTTGGCTTTTTCAGAGTCCCTCAATCAATGTGCTCAGAAGCGGCAATCTTGTATGTGCGCTGGACCTAACCAACCCTAACAACCTAATTCACCTAAGCTAAACTAAGCATACGCCAAAGGCCCACAACGGTGGATGCTAAGGGCCACCAGGCTTTTGCCAGACATCAGGCCGTGTTGGGCCATGCATCGCCTGAAGAACCTGTGCAGGCTAGAGGCTCGTTTGATGTCAGTGACTTTAAGTTTTTAGAAGAGCGGCTGAATGGAGACATGGAAGGAGGCGCCCCTCTGCTGGTTCCACTTGTCTCGGTACATGCCAGCGTGTCCTTTTCACATCGTGTGGGTCAACATCTGGGAACATGTCCTTGGAGAGTATCCTGTTCTTCGGTCTCTTCAGCAGCAATACTTCCACCGTACTGCGGACGGGCTGTGGGATGCGCATTGGCGCGCTGCACCTGACAGGGTGATGTCAAGCACCGCTGTGGCTCCTCTCCACAAGGGTCGTGGCACATGCACCTTCTCAAAACATTGGTAGTGCAAAAAAGCCCGACTCCTTTTGAGCTGGCGTCAAAGCTTCAGCACTCGGCGTGCTTGTTTTCGAGAGTCAACATGTAATTTCTTGCACGTTGCCGGCCTCATCAGCCCACCTCGTGCGCAACTACAAATCGAACAGACTTTTGGCAGAAGACCGTCCTTCTTTGTTCAGGGGAACATCGTTTTGGAGGACCTTCTGGTCCAAGCGAGTACCTGCCAAGGGCCCATCCATGTGGCTTGAATCCAAATCCTTTTCACTGCGAAGTCCACTGATGTTGCCTGTGAGGCCCTAGCTGCTCTTGAACTTTATGATTTGGCTTCTGCCTGCATACATACCTGAAATAGGGCAGTCTTTGATGATTGGCGTTCTGTTCTCATTGGGCCTCAAGTTGCCAATTGTTGGCAGACATCCATGCGTCTGGAGGCAATGACCACATGCGCACACTTTGTTGGTTGCGAACTGGCCGGCAAGTCATGGCAATGTGAACACAGATATTGCGCCCTGCTCAGCCAAGGAATTTGATCGTTGGAGCCCCTAGCCAAGCCACGATCGCAAGCTGGCCGACCAAGTAGAAAGAAAGCAGGAGGCCCTACTCAATTTTCAGGTGGAGCGCCGTGGGCCTGACCATCTGATGACTCTGCTCCAGTCTGCCGGTCTTGGCAGTCTTCGGTCGCGTTTCGCGCGGCAAGAAGCGACTGTGGTCTTACACAGACTTCCAAAGTTTTTTCAATCTCACCTTGCCACAAGCTCACGCCCACGCATTGAAATGGCCTTGCAGGAAGGCTGACGCATGATTCCGCATGATCGAGGTTTTGGTTACGTGTGACAGTGGCGGGCGTGCTCAGTCATCTCCGCCCCAGGGCCTCAGCGCATGCTGCCGACGTGATCTAGTTAGGTCTGGTCCACAACGATTGAATGGATTGCAATCGACTAAAGCTCATCCTCCTGCAGCTTCAGCCCCCATGCTCTTTCCTCATGCGCTTCACTTTGCCGGGTCAGCGTGCTCTTTTTCTTTTGGCGCGTTTCTGAGAGTGCTGACGCTGTTGCTCGCACTTCTTTGTGGAAGGCCTCTTTGCTTCAGGCTACCAAAGTCCAAGTTCTTCTTTTCACCATCTTTCCAACCATCTTGCTATGTTGCCAGGGCATGACCGCTGCCCAGAGGATAGCTGCGGTCCGATTGCTTCATGCACTCACACATTAGCTCTGATGTGCTAGACTTTTAGACAAGCGCAACAAGTCTCGAACGACCTTCCCAAGTCACTTTTGGAAGCACTCAAACGAGACACGAAACGCCCGTATTGGAGACTTCCCCTGTCACTTGTGGCGGAAGTCTTGGGCGAAGCGCTCGTTTTGGAGGATTCCTGCGTCACATCTAGGGTCTCACACAAAGAAGGTTTCTTTTCGAAAACTTCCCCTATCATTTTGGAGACACGGGCCTTAAGGAAGGCGCCCACAACAGGAGCCAGAAAAATCCTAAAAGAAAACGGCGGCCTTTTCATGGTACCACCTGGCTGCCAGAGAAATCATGACATTCTTGCCCAATGTGTCCAGGCGTCTTAGTGCTTCAGCATCCACAAAAAAGGGAGCACAGTTTGACCAGCAATCACTGTTACCGCCCAATCCCTCCACAAAGATCCCTCCACAAAGCACCGTTGTCACCAGCTTGGCGATGTTCATGATATGTGTGTGTCATACAACCCCACGACAGAGTAAACAGTTTTGGGCCACAATATGCAGCAAGAGTTGCAACAATATAGCTGTGGTCGCCCAGAAACATACTTCGCTGGAAGCACCACCCCTGACCCCCCATCAACTGCCCTAGCCCCCCACTTGGTCAACCCCAATGCGCAAATCAGAAAAACAAACACATAGCATCACACCACTTTCCCAAACTGGTCGGATGCGCCAGTATCGGTGGCTCCTATTTGGGCGTCGAGTTCGTCTACGAGGCCCTCAAGACCGACCCAGCGGCCGCCAGCGCGGCGGCCGGGCGCAAACTGCGCTTCCTGGCGAATGTGGACCCCATCGACGTCAGCAGAGCCTGGCAGCCTGGAGGGGGAGAACAGCCTGCGGGTGCGAGGAGTCTAGACCAGACAAGGACTTGGGTCGGTGGTCTAGAAAAAAAAAGGGTGATTGCAGGACAAAAGGGCACGGATCACAAGCTAGAGTCGATACAGACAAAAAACCGCTAAGATTTACCAATTTGTTTACTGCTTAGCCGCTTGAAGAAAATGGGAGGCTCCTGACGAATTGACCTGTTTGCTGGATCGATCGAAGGCTTTCAGACGCGCAAACCTGGCTCAGAGAGCTCTCAAGATGCCACTGAGGCTTTGGAAGGCTTGAACGCAGAGACCACATTGGTGGGATGCTGAGATGATGCTGAGAAGTTTCAAGAGAGTTTGCGAGTCTGCGGTCAATCCATGTGCAAAGAGAGGCGACCAGGTGTCAAAGTTTTAGTTTTGTTTTACGTGAATTGGTTCGTGAGTGCTGAGAACTCTCAAACATTCAACTCATCGCTTTCGGTTGGTTCGTTTTTTTTGTGGGAAGCTAGCGATATCTAAGTAAGTTTGTCTCAAGCCGAAAATGCGTGTGTGGTTGGCCTTTGGCGTGCAACATACATCAAGCTGGCAGAAACCTTTGGCCAGACCAATGACTTTGGAGGTTTAAGACTCCAAACTTTGGTATTGCCATGTCTTACCAAAAATGAACATCAAACCTTTATGCCGGACGGGTGGAAGCTCATGGTCCACATGTGTTACCTTTAGGACCGTTCACTTTCGGGCTTCATTGATTGAAACATTTGCCAAATGCTCTGAGAGGACTGAGGACCAAGGGTTTACCTGGTGAGTTTCCGGGCTCCTCCTACCTTCGCCAGATCCCTTGGTCGCCAGCGTTGTTTTTCCCTTCGCATGGGGCCCACAGGGACCAGCTGTGAGAGACGGGAGGTGTCGATCCACCTCCATATGTTCCAGTGCTGCAGATGTCACGGCAGAGCGGGTGATGTTCTTCCATCAACTACCAAGCGCGGCAGTATGAATAATATTATATAGTTATATATATATATATGTACACATACACACATACTTATCATTCTTAGAATTCGTTGGTGCCAAGCCCCAAGTCCCAAGTCCAGCTGTATCTTTTTGTCATGATACGTTGGGTTGCTGACATATCTTGCAAAGTTGTTGAGGAGAATCGAGAATGAAACAAAAGGATACACATGGAGCCTCAGCAACTTGTCTGGCCCCATAAAGTGCTTACGAAGTCCGAAGTTCCCCCGGGATCAAGACCCTGGACCAACCTCCAACAAGCTTGATGGCTCTTCCTTGACTCCCAGCGGTCCGCACGAGAACCATGAAGGACATCATTCACCCGTCAGTTCACCCGTTCCGTGTCCTCTCCCGCTCGCGTCAGTTCACCCGCGCGGTCGGCAGCTCCGCTCATCCATGGCTTCTTCTTAATCAGGTCGTGATCATCTCCAAGACCTTCACCACCGCCGAGACCATGCTGAACGCCAAAACCGTCAAGGCCCGCCCGGGCGCGAGCGAAACGTCCTCGAACAAAACACCGTTAAGCAACCCAGAGACCTGCGCCAGAGACCTTCCGTCCGCGTCGAAGCGTGGAAGCCGGTTCGTCGGATGTGGGCGAGATGATTCACCAAGACTTGGTCCAAGATGTGTGGAAGGGTCAGTTTCTGTTGATGTTTGGGGGAGTGTGTGGTCTCCAAATTATGGCTATTTGAACACCCTGAAATCCTCAAGAAAAGCCTCAAGTAGATAGAATATGTGAGAAGTAAGGGGTGTCAATGGACGGTACAAAAGACTGAGTCTACTTGCCATGGCAAGTGAGCAAACCCAAGTGACTTTGACTGAACCAAAAGCAACTCACGACCTGTAGCACCAGCTACATACAGTGCACTATACAGTGATTGCAGCATTCCAGCTTTGGATGAGAATGTCCTACACCCCTTGTTCTGCAGGAGATGGCAGGGTAGTGATGGCCGATGCAACTTTCCACCTTTGGATGAGAGAATGTCCTACACCAGGAGACTCTCATGGCCAGTGCTTCTTTGAAGTGGTGGCAGCGCTGTTGCTCGTCGAGACCATTCTCGTGGTCAATGCAACAGTCCATCCTTGAAGTCCTTGCTTGAGCTCTAGACTTTTGCAATTGCCAGCTATAGCCAATGCGATGGTACAAGACATTACAAGACCGTCGTAAACCGGACATGAGGTGTTGCGCTTGAGAGCGCGTGTGTCTGACCTTGCCTCGGGTACTCACTGGGGCATGGTGCATGAGTTGAAGACTAGCCCGCAGAGTCGGCTTCGAGCAGTGCTGCTTGATGGGCAGTTGCTGTCCTCGATATGTAGAATGTAGAACAAATCCTCTAGCCACCCTTGCCGGGTTGGGTGATTTGCGGTGATTTTGCCACATCGCAACATCATCACGCTGACATCCACATCCTTTAGGGTCGCATGGTCTACTCGGATCCAATTCAAGCCGTCGAGCTTATTATTCATTCTGCCCCAAGTTCTGGGTCCATCACTTGCCACAACATGGATAGAGTGTAGTGAACCTGACCGACCCATCTTGAATAGAAACTGCCGGTCGCCTGCCATTCACCCGAAAAATTGAGTCCAGTCACCGTACACCCAAAAATCCCAACTTGCGTGACTTGCGTGTAAAGTCATAAATTGCGAAGCTGGGGTGTAAACCAAGCATGCTTCAGTGGGCCCGCGTCAATCGCATTGGGCACTGGATGAGTGTGATGTTCGAAGCTCAAAGGGGGATCTGGAATGAAGCCCCCAGATAGAATCACAGCCACATGGCACTGCTGGCCAACAAGCAGCAGTAGAAGATGCTGGAACTGTCATGTTGTTCGCCTTCAGAGCCACAACTTTGCGCGAGCCATGCGTAGAGTTCAAGTGTCACAAGAGTCCCATGAGAGCTTCAATGTTCTAAAGGACTAGCACACGATCAGATCTCACAGATCTCCATCAGGCTGAAATATGCTGAAATCAAGCATTTCACAGGCCATGAAATCGGTGTGAACTTTCTCATGCGGCCATGAACTGACTCTCCTCCCTGTGAACTAAGAGTCTCCTCTCTGTGAGGCATGGCTCGTGAAGCAGCTGGGCACCGAGGACTGTGAGGGCCCCGAGCTGGCGCGAGGGGCCTTGCCTGGTGTTCTTCAGCGTCAGCTTACAACTCCAGGTGTGAGAGGTGACTGTCTTCCTTTAGCAGCCTTTCCAAAAGAATCAACATGTATTTCTAGATATTTTGTGTTTCCAGTGACTCTTCCTCAAAGACTGACTTGACTTCAAAGACTGACCTGGCCGCACCATAACCATCCGTAGCCCACGATCTCCCTCACCCAAGGTGTTGCGAAGCACGTGGTCGCTTGCTCCACTGCGCTGGACAAGACCAAGGCCCTAGGGCCCCAGGACCTTCAAAATGGGGTTGAGATGGTCATAGGTGGTCACTTGGTCAACTGCAGCGACCTTGCTTGGATGGAGGATGAAAGTTGGCGGTCTTGGTCAGTCACCAATCTGGATCCATTTGCATGAAGCTGCATGCATTTGGGCTCAGGGATATCACGTCTTGCCCGTGTCCGGAGTCCACGTGGTCGCTTTTTCGCCCATCGCACCTGGCATCCTTGCAGCACCTGATGAACTAGAACAGACTAAAACCCATTGTTATTCCATTTAAAGGGAGTACCGTCTTTGTGTGGACGATTTTTGGATTGCTCGCCTGCATGGCTAGCTGTCAGGGGTCAGTAGTTGGGACTTTTTCTCGGGTGTTTTGCCACCCAAAGAACTCCACGAACAGACCGAAAAAGCAGCGGGTACAGTATGGTACAGTACACTCCGGTCCGATCTGAAAAGCCGTGGGTCACGTGGAGTGGAGTTCACCACCTCTTGGAACTGGTCGGATTTCAAGGCGAGTCAAATCGCAGGGTGTTGGAGGGGCCAACCTATCCACCATGGTCCCATCGGATTCCGCGTATTGGCCGATTCGTCCAGCTTGGGTGTGTCTTTTTGGAGTCAAAACCGAAGGTTCGACTTGAGTCGGAACATGTCAAAAGGATCATTTCAAGCTGGCAACCATCTCGTGAAACACCAGAGGTGTTGAACGAAACACCATGGCTTTGGCTCATTCTTCGGAGCCAGATTGATGTGGAGCAGAGTTCAAACGAAACACTGGAACGTAGATGTTGGCCATGTGTTATTTTCTGTTTCTTTTGCTTTGCCCCTTTCTTCCTTGAGCTCAAGTTCCTTGGACCAACTGCCTCGACTCGCAGCACTGCGCCTCACCCCTTTTTCGTGAAAAGGGCCGTGGCGGGGTGGGCACGGGGGAGCACGTGTCGTAGGCCTTCGGAATCGACTCCAACAACGTCTTCGGCTTTTGGGACTGGGCCCAGAGCCTCAGATGGCTCCGTTCGGACAGAGCGCAGAGCGAAGTCCCGGTGCCCGTCCGGCGACCGTCGGTGTAGGTCGGCGTAGGGCTCGGCGTGAGGGTCGGCGGGACCTCTTTGGGGAGCTCCCGATCAGAGGTCCCGATCAGAGAGGTCCTTTCAGAGAGGTGAACTGGGTGGACGTGGTTTGAAGGATTCTCAGAATTTGGCCTTCCTTTTTGGCGTTGGTTCCCAGATATTGATTGGTGTGGTCAAGCAAAAACAGCAGCAGACAGAACTCCTTTGGCCGCCCAAAGTGCAAGAAAAGGCCGAATCGAAGCGATGTACCATTTGGTGTTGAAAGCAGATCACATCTCTCTCACTCACTAAAACTAGCATGGCACTCACCTGGTTAAGCACCATCATGTTCAAAACCCGCAGTTTTGAGCGAATTTCTGTGGCTGCTGGGTTAGGGAATGATGGTGGACCAACAGCTTGAACAGAAACCAGTAAGCCTGAGGAGCGCAACCTTTTTGACAGACTGTTCACTGCGGATTGCACAAGTCCCCGGAGTGGTTTCACCGACATTCTTTGACGTGGGTGTTCCATTGAATCAGAGGTTCAGTGCCAAGATCACCTCTGAAGTGACATGGAGTGACCATGGATGACTACAGCCTCAACGTGAAGATATGAGGCCTAGTATCCTGACTCCCTCAATAAGCCTGCCAGACGTTGCCCAGAACCGCCATGATCCGCCAAGCGGTTGCAGAACAGTTTGCGAGGTCGGTGGCCGATTCTCAGTGTGGAGTGCCGTGGGAGTGCTCGCATTGTCCCTCCAGCAGCTCGGGTCTTTTCATCGGCCGGGAAAGCTTGGGAAAGCCAGGAAGTCGCTGTGGGAGGACGAGTGTAGATGTAAAGGCAACTGGTGCTTTCTTGACTGAATGACTGACTGAATGAATGATGAATGACGATGTTTTAATTGGAGGTCATAGTCCGTTTCTGGTTGGGAAGGTTGATTTTGTCAGTTTCTTGTGAACAAAATAGCGGAATAGCGGTTGGAATGGACAGGTCAAAGAGTCGTGGGTTGAGGTTGGTATATGCAGGCATCCCAGGAGGGTGCACAATGTTGAAATCAGGCCTTCTTTTCTGGGCAGGCATCATGACTCCTTTATAGTCGCACAACGAACTCTACATCCAATGTGCTACTCGTTTTGATGGACGAACAGAAGAGGGGTCAACAGTCCATTGCAGTGCCTTGAAAGCTGAATGCAGTTCTACTCTTCCTCGTTTGGCACCTTGCTTTACGTATCTTTGTGTGTTTGTTCATGTTGTTTTTTCCATGGATCCAGGCGGTCGTAAGTGCTTCTAGTGCATTTAAGAAATTAAAAAGCCGAGACAATGTCTTCGTTTCAGGAGCCCACTGGCGACCCCACTCCCCCGCATGCAAACTTGGAGGTTTTCACCTCCACTGACAGAGTTGTTTGGTTCATTCAAAGATGCATGGGATATTGATCGACCAAACCGTTTATTTCCTGTAGAATTGCAAGGCTCTGCTATCCATGAAACATGGGTATTTCTTTTCACTTGGCTCAGCAGCTGCACTTGCGTACACCGTGTGCAGCTGCATTCGCTGGCAATGTTCGGACTCCAAGAGGGCTTCTCTCCCCAAAGGGATGTCTAAGTCACAGAGGGCAGTACAGAGGGCTTCTCTCCAAGGTCACTTGCAGAAACCTGTCAGTTCACAGGGTGAGCTCCGTTCTCCGCATGCGCGCCAGTATGCGCGCCATACGCCGTCCTCGCCAAGGTACGGATTCGATGTGGTGAATCAGTTCTTGGAGGGCGGGTTGGGGCAGCCCAGTCCCAGGCAGTGCTTCTTTGGAGGTGTGATTCATCCCCAACAAAAGAGCTGAAGAAGTCCACTGTCCACTCAAGTTCTTGTGAACGTTTGTTTTGCACTTAGAAAGACATGGCGTTTAAATGCCGTGTTCCAACTCCAGCCTGCAAGATGTTCAACTCACTTGAAGACTCTCCCTAGGCACGCCATGGACCAGCACTTCCAGCAGGCTCCGGCCAAGGAGAACATGCCATTGATTCTGGGATTGCTGGATGCCGGGGCCCCGCTTGTGACTGGAAGAATGACCAAGCTAGACATGGGACACCAACCACCTGATGCTCTTGATACGCATATGATTTCATTCGTGAGTTAAAAGCGTACTTGTCCTGCGGCTTGTCTATCTATGGGTGTTCTATAGTTTTCTCTATGCACACGGATGTTGGGCCGTGACGAAAAAAACTCTTCCGTCGTCGATGGGAGCCTTCTCCGTTCGCTCCCTCAGGTCTGGAACGGCAGCCTTCTGGGCTACGAAGGCGTTGCAATCCTTCCCTACTGTCAGGCGGTGTCGTGAATCCCTGCGTGTCGGAAAGGGACGACCGGAGAGGACGGGAGGACGGCGCGCAAGGCCAGAAAGTGCCGATCTGCTCAGAGTTTGGTGGTCCCATGCGGTCTCTCTAAAGCTTGAGGCAAGCCAAAAACTTGTCAAAGTATTGATGTTGGACTATGGGTGAGCCCCCTCCCTTCGCGCATAATGTTTGGTTTTGAAAGAGGGAACGACTGGCGTCAAGATGATCAGATGCGCTGGCAGTTTTCTATGCTCCAAAGGCATATCTACTCCGTTCGGACTGCAACACGTGTGTTTTGCGTTTGCCCTGCCCACCGACCCTCGCATCCGACCCTTCAAACCTCGTCCACCTGGCCTCCTTTGAGGGGAAGAAGGAGAACGTGTGTTGCAGTTCCTGTGTGGGACCGAACATGCAAACCTTTCTTCGGCACGTGCATTGTAAACAAAATCCATGTCATTTTCACCTTTCTCTGCGTATGCACCTCATTCAATCCCCTTCTATTCAATCCCCTTCTACAAATCTCTTACAATCTCCTTGCGCAGGCCTTGCTGCGCTTTGTCCCTCACATCCAGCAGTTGGATATGGAGAGCCACTCGACTGGCCCCCAACTTACGGTCCCAATCGCCGGTTTGCTCGATGGGTTGGGCATTGGAGGTTGGTGACATGGGGTACCTATGGGCACTTGGTTTGGTGGATTGGATGATGTGTATTTTCCCTATAAATCGATCCCCTTCTGGGGCCTGGGGCATGTTTTGTTCCGGTTCGACCAAATTTGTCGGGTATTGGTGCTTTCCTTGACAGGGCTTTGAGGTTTATGTGGTAGACTTTTCTGCTGATTTCCGGTGTATAAAGGTGCCAGCTACAAAGCCACAAGAGTTGCAAGAACACCAGCAGAACTAGAATGGAATGATTGACGCTGTGGTGCGGTTTGGATTCAGAGTCTGAATCCTCTATAGCATGCGCGTGCATGGAGGAGACATCTCACAAGCACCGCTGTTCAACAGGAGCGAATCCACCGTTTGCTCCTGCAACACATTACACAGGTCGTTTTACGAATCAGACCTGTGGCAGAAAAAAAAATCAACATCAATTGATTCTTGACGAATCATGTTTGAGCATCTATCTTATTAAAGTGATTCTTGTAGGCAGATGGGCATCACTTTCGGCGAGGTACATCAACGACCTCTGGACTTATGGTGACGGAGGGTCCCAACCCAAACCGCACCGTCTCCTTTGAGACACCCAAACCCAGCGGGCCCAGTGACTGGGTCAGGAGAACACTGCTTCCTTTGCCCCTGACATGTACTGACACGTCCATCAACAAAGCCCATGTCACAGAAGCCAGTGGATCCACACAGGTGAACTAGTGGATCCACACAGGTGAACTTGTCCATTTCAAGCTGACCAGGCGTCAGATTGCTAGATTGCGGTTTTCGAAACTCAGATCACATATTGAGTCAGCTTCCGCACCATGCAGATTGAGTCAGCTTCCGCATGCATCAGCATGCTTCCACCGTGCGCAGGATCACCGTCCAGGTGGAAATGGGCACAAAGAGGGGGGTGGAAGGGAATGCTTCAGCTTGTGCTGAGGCAATGGCAAGGGAGTGCAGATGGCCCGTGCCTTATCAAGTCGTCTGACTTGCTAAAGGGTCATTCGAAAGGTGGTCAAACAGAGAATGTCCATCAGCGAGAAGTGCCCCAAACGAAACTGTAGTCCAGAGACACTTGGTGACAAGACCCTACACGACCCTACAGTTCATGAACCTGCTGGAATTGATTGACATGTTGCTCTGATTGAGAATCCAAGTGCAAAACTTGCAATGGCAGTCCAGGAGTTGCTCATCTCTGCATTGCCTGGGGTGCAAGGGAAGGAAGCAAACACTTGGTGGCCGCGGCAGCTGCTTAGTAGGGAGTGTTTTAGGAATTTAAGCGCTGGATCAACGAGGAACAAGAATCTAGGCCTTTGACATCTCAATAGGCAATACCACTGGTAGCAACAAGCCAGTCTTTTCCAGATAGATCAGCTCCGTTTTCCAACCTTCAAAGCAACTCCCTTGGGCCCTCCAGAGCTGTACGTGCTGGGTTTGAGGATGGAACCCCTGTGGCAGTGCCCACGGGTGCCATCAACTTTGGTGAGCCTGGCACCAATGGCCTTTTGGAATGCAATGGAACGCATCAAAAAGCAGAAGGGACCTGTGAGAATGCACGGAGGTATGAAGTAGGATGAAGGGCATGAAGGGGTGTTCTCGAAGTGGCAGGATGATGGAACATGTGGCTGCAATTGGAGCCACATTTGGTGCGCATCGCAATTTTCTGCGGTGGTCAGAGATGTGACACGTGACACGACGCGTCGCCCATGGTTTCCTGTGGTCGACTTTTCGGTCGTTAGAATGAGTGGGTACAGAACAGGCGGACTGACTCTTTTCGCTGGCATTCAATGTTCTGGAAAGGTCGTGGGTTTCTACGGCTCTGGACATTGGCTTAGCATGCCGGATCGAGGTCAGCATTCCTTCTACCAGCTGCTGCACCAGGGCCGTGTGGTCCCCTCGCACTTCATTGGTTTTGCTGCCTCTCAGCACCCTGCCACTCGGCTGAAGCCCAGGTGGTCCTTCCGGCAGTCAGATTTGTCAGATGCCATTTTTGGGCCCAAGCTTAGGGGTATGTCTTCCACGAGCAGAAGTATGCAAAAGTGGGACGTCTTCGTGGAAGTTATTGTTGCTTGTTGGAACTTCTTTTGTCACTGAAGTGTGCATCCACGTTCCCTCTCCCTCTGAGACGGTGAGGAGACTGCGGAACAATCTTTTTCTCGATCGCGACTCACAAAAAATAACCGAAGCGCTGCCGATATCGGTCCTTGTCGGTCCTTGTCGGTCTGAACATGAACAATTGAAACATCAAAGCAGCCGATCAAAAAGAATGCCGCATGCCCGATCGAAAAGGCATCCAAACCGTGTTCACGACACAAATCGCCGAAAAACTGTTCATCTCGCTCCGCCGCGGTGTGCCAGAGGTGGAGCTTCCGGGGGAGGCGGTGGCCAATCATGATGAGCTCATGTCCAACTTCTTTGCACAGCCAGGCACGGGAACTGTGAACCAGTGAGGTGAGAGTGGACCGACGAGTGGCTGATACGTGTGACCACAGAACTGCAGATGAAGTCTAAGCTGACTTCGCAGTGATTTTCTTGTGTTATCCAGATGTGCACTCTGCAAGTACTGGAACTCAATCGTTTGGAGGCTAAAAGAGACATTGTAGATTGGTTGCTTTAGTCGAAACGTCGACTTTGGAGCCCGGAGAAGGCTTCTTTCAGATACGTCTCACCTCTCCCAGTGGGGAGTAGATCCTAGAGCCTTAGACCAGACCTACAAAACCCACAGGAGGTTTATGCAAAGGCCTGTTCAAGCAAGACCTACAAGTCGGGCTGAGAGACCTCTTGCAAAAGCTCCCAAAGCTCCAAAACCTACCAAATCCTCCTCCCCAGATGCTTTGGCCCTGGGCAAGACTGCCGATGAGTTGAAGGTGCTGAAGGGAACCTGGTCAATGGAAGTAGCGGGTTCTTTCTCATTGACCAGGCTGTATATTCGTGATGGTCTTCTTGAGGATGGCTTGCTATGGCAGAGCTGAGTAAACTGCTACGGCAGAGTTGAGTTAACTTGACGTGGAAGATGTAGGATGTGGCCTCTGTGCAAGTTGGAGGTGTGATTGACCAAGTTTCTAGCTTCTAACCTCCTCACTCCAACTGTGTCGAGATGCTTCTGCCAGGCAGACAAGGTCCCTGACAATCTCATTTCTCACAAGACCTTTCCTGGAGATCGACCGTCCTTGTGGCAGTCTCAAGACCAATGCAGCAGTACGTAGATCGATAGAGCATCAGGTAAATGCCTACAAATCGGTTCGGCACTTCTTGCACTACCGTCTTGAATGGTGGGCTGAAAACCAACCATCTCGCGTGAAATAGATAGGCAGACAAGCACCAGATGAAGGAAGCAGTCAAGGTCGTGTGAACAAGAGCAGCTTGTTGCGCTATTCTCCCAAAAGATAATAATCACCAAACTGTTGCTCATTTGGAGTCTCCATAAGCAATGTTTACGAACTTGGCCGTTGCCTTCAAGTACACCGTCGCGATGCCAGCCTTTTCAAGATCGCCAAGTCGCCAAGTTGAGGTCATTGCTACTTCCAGTTTGCAACGCACACTGGAGTCTCGGCGGGAGAAGGAGAATTCCCAGTCGGTTGATGCGACCCCCAAAACAGCCCAAACCCGCGGCTACGGAGCTCTGGGGCCAGGAGAAAACCGAAAAAGCACGGAGCGTTTTGGGGCAAGAGCACGCCATAGAGTTGGGTTCAAGGGGGTTTAAGGCGGCTATGTCCCAAGCCTCCATTTTAGCAACTGACTTTCAGGCAATCTATGGAGCATTGTGTTTGGGTGTGAGCCATGAGTACGGCAAATACTGTTTGCCGCTTCCTGCCGCATTTGGATGAGCAAATGCACATGCAATCTTATCAACACCAGCTTCAGGCTTGGCCAACTGCTAGCTATGTATGAGCACCGGACTGCGACTATAGGCCTGGAGCCCCGAGCAGCAAGCAAGGTCAGCGTTGAGTGTAAGTTTAGCCTTTAGCAGTTTTAGCAAATCGCATGTTGCAGGTTGTGCTTCTCTTTTGTCTTCTGATTTTTGCCAACGGAAAAGGCAAGCAAGCTTGAGGTAGCCACAGGCACATCCAGCGAATCTGCTGAGCGCTGGCCAGGTTGGCTTTTGAACGTCAACTCCTTTGACCAGCCTTGGACCCAAAGAAGATGAGGGACCAGACTCATGCAAGGACCAGTTGTCACCTAGAGCTTTAGCAAAGTTAGGAGATATGGGCCCCTGAAACACCCCGCAAGGCGCTCCTGAAAAAAGCCCCTTGCTAAAACCCCTGCATTAAGAGGAAATATTGAGAGTTTGATTCTGCTGCAAGACGCTTCAAGCGTGGCTTGTTTGGCTTGCTCAGGTGGGGTGTGGAGCTTGGCAAGGTCTTGGCCAAGGAGGCGCGAGTTCCACCCAAATGCGGCCCTGTTCGTTGTGGATCATATCTCTGCAGCAGGCATTGCGAGCAAGCTGGTTGTTTTTTGGGGGTGCACATGTTTGCAGGTGAGAGGATATCTCAGCCAAGCAAGGAAAGGATCAGCTGATGACTCCAAGTGGCAGCCTCGTTGTGGACGGCAGTTCTCGCATGCTCGAAATGACCGCTGGACTCAAGGACGGCGCTTGAAAGAGCCTGACATGTTTGCGGTTGCTTTGGTCTTCTGAACCAGTGTAGAAAGGGATCGGAGCATTATTTCACCAAAGTTTGGCGACCTTCGAACTTGAATTTGAGAAGAGAGAAAGAGAGAAGGAGAGAAAGAATGAATGAAAGAAAGATGATTTGCCGAAGCCCCACCGCACAGCGCACCACATCTAAACTCCCACACCACACAAGCTACCCTTTGCAAACTCAGGTTCTTGGCACCAACCAAGAAGCTTTTGGCCAAATACTTGGACAAGTGAGGCATCGAATTACTGGGAATAGCAAGAAGGGACGCCCGGGTTGGTTAGTTGCATTGCAGGCCATCGCTTTTGCATGGCTCAGCTATGACAAAAGGCTAGGAAAGATGTAAGGGAAAAATGTCCACTTGGCCGCTGTTTGCAGGACACTCCAATTCCGCAACGAAGAAACGACTCATTTATCGAAATGTCTACAGAGATGCACGATTGCTTCCTGCAGATCTACGAAACTTGCGGTAAAGATACTTAGTCGCCTATCAGACCGACTGTTCTGCAGAGTCAGAGTATATGGCAGGTGGATGAAGTGGGTCCAACCGTGAAGTGAAGGGCCAACGTGCTCTGAGCCGTGTCAGGTATGTTTGAAGCGATATGCAAGGGAATGCTGGGCCCCACCAAGTTCAACAACACTCTGTTGCTTAAGTCACTAAGAAAGCAACGGCCAGTTTGTTCAGACTTGATTTTGCCAACAGCTCTCGTGTTCAGCAGCAATCAATCAATCAATTGAATCCAGCCGGAAGTGAACTTGCCACCGAAACTCGGATGCTCCATCTTCGGGCGGAAACTTCGGGCGGTGTTCGGCCACTTCCGTAGAGCGGGCGCAGATCCATCTGCGATACGCTGATGCGCCTTTTAATAAACATGCTGACCTCGGCAAGGAAAAGTGACCTCTTCCCATTGTCCTACCCAACGCACCAGCTCCGAAGGTCCAAGTCGAACAGCATGGGAGATCGAGCTAACGCCGCTGGCACAGCTTCCCGCCAACGCCAGCGGGAGCGCCGATGCTGCACCGCCGTGGAACCCGTGATCGATGGGCGTTCAGGATCCCATGGTTTTATGGGCATTCGCATGGTTGAAGAAGAGGTTACTCAGCTGTTGGAATGAACAAATGAGGTTGATGACTACAGAGAGCTGACATGAGCTGACATTTTTTGAGGACCATCCATTGGTGAAGGACTTGGTTATACACGGTTGCTATGACAATCTCAGGGACTGGTATTGGGTTTCGTGAACCATTCCACTTCAGCCCGGAAGAAAGATCACGATCGCATTTCAAGCATTTATCAGTTGGCTTCACGGCAGGAAGAGAAGCCCCAGCCCAGATGTTGAATTGGACACAAAATGAAGCATCATGACCAGTGGCTCATGGCTTGTTCTATCAAGAGGAACCTGGTTTCACTGCAACGTCAATCGCAAAAAAACGAAACACAAAGTTTGCGTGCCAAGGAGAACCAGTCAAGTATCACAGGCTGCAGACTCTGCTCAGAGGTTTTTTCAAGTTCTTAAAGAAACGCATCCTCCGATGGCCTTCGCCAAAGACGGCCACCATCTCCGTGATTCTCGTCCTCGCACTCCTGTGCGCAGCAAGCCGTGGTCTTCCGAGTTTGCTGGTGCAGCGGGCGGAATGATGGGCGCGGGCCGGCTGCTGCAGCTGGTGAGCGATCACGAGCTGCAGTTGAACTCATTGAGAGAAGGATTTGAGGAGTTGAAGCAGGAGAAAATCGATCGCACCGGCCTTGTGGGCAGCTGCTGCGACGTTTTGTAGATGTTTTTCTGGTAGACCAATGTGGTCGTGTTGACCCAGAGCCACGATGAACATATTTTGATATATTTTGTGCCTGGAGGGAAGTAATATGTTGATGCATTGCCTACCTAGCATGTTCATTGAAGATGAACAACATTAATGGTCAAAGCACGCAAACTTAATCGCAATTTTCATGGTGCATTCTTGTTTCATGGCCTCATTGCCTAATTTTTTTAAAGCGCTTGGGAAGCTCAATGAAGCTCACAAAGATCTCACATGTTGATCTTTGTTTTCCCACATGCAAGGAGACCTTAGCCCTGCGCCGAAGCCTGACAGCCCTGGCTGGCTCCGGTGCGGCCAAGACTCCGAGCGCAGCGCAGGAAGTGGCGAAGTGTGGCTCCAAGACAGGCTAGAGGGCTCCTTCAGAGCTGGAAGAGGGGTGCCCGCAAGCTACGAAGATGGAGATTGGGATGTTGAACATGCAGGGAGGAATTCCTTTTCTCTTGATGGACCTTGCGACATTGGCAAATCATAGTGTAGATGTCCAGGTATGGATTCAGGATGTCCTATTCAAATCAAAATATGCAGATTCGAAAGCGTTCACTAAGCCTCTTGCTTTTAAGCCAGGACTCTACTAAAATTTGTTTGCAGTAGTTGGACTGTATGTGTTCACAAGAGATGTTTTGAAGACAATCAAAGGGCACATACCATCTGAAGAAGCAACATAGAAGTGACGAGTCGCCAACAACAGAGAAGAATCCTGTTCCTTATATTCTGTCACGTTCCATGTTTGTTCAGGAAAGGTGATCTCTTCTGGCACTTTTGGTCTCCCCTTCCTTGTGAATCCCCACTCCCCACGCCGCCAGGCTGCACCACTCGCAACACACCAAAGGCCGCTCCGCCCGCAGCCACGGCCGCTCCCACGACCGCGAGAGCTCCGACGGCGTCCGCCAAGACAGACGTGTCGCGGCGGCCCAGCCTCTGCAGCACCTCCTCCGGTGGCTCCGACGTGACCGGCTGCACGAGCGGCTGCGCGAGCAGCTGCACAAGCGGCTGCAGCACGGCCAGCAGGCCTGGCCGAAGAGTGCGGAGTGAGCATGCAGGGAGGGAGGGTGAGGATGCATGAAGCTGCAAGAGTTAGCTGCAAGTTGATTTCTTGCTTCAAGGCTTCACACGATGAGCGGAGTCGTTACTCGGCGACTCGGCGCGGTGGTGTTCCTGTTTGCTTTGTCTCAGTTTCAAAGGGACCCTTGGCACCACGATGGCAATTGTGGTGTGTGACTCTCAGGAACTCTCGATGATGCGAAAAACGCAGGCACAAAGAATATTATCCACCATCACTAAAGCTCCACATTCCCTCAGGGGGCCTTCCTTGCAACTGAAGTCATGAAATTTGCTGCTGGTTGAGGGCGGCTGTAACCTCCACCCAACAACACAACTTGTTGCCTATGCGAAGGTCAACCACCCCGCTCCAACTCCCTGTTTGCCCGCCTGTCAGCCTTCCAGTCAGTCTCCTCCACCCCGCTGTTTCATCGGTTCGCTCTGTGAAGGCGCGCCAACAGCAATGTGAGTGCGAAGGCGAAGGTTGCAAAGTTCACCAAGCCCAAAGACGATGCTTCACATGCGTTTTCTCGAGGTGCGGTTTCTACGCGGATCAGGAGCCGATATGTTTGTTTGTTCCGCGTGCCTACACGAGATGGTGCTTCTCTAGTGGACTGAATTGGCAGTTTGAAGATTGGAAATTATATAAACGAAATTAGACTTAACTTGAACTTTGAGTTTGGATGAAGTAATTATATACCCTTCTTCCCACCAGGCGCGTTCCGTGTGGAAGGAAATTGCAGTCGTTTTTGCTCACTCCTCTTGATGCCAAAGACTGGATGAACTCAGCTGGGTAGTAGGAAGAACAGCTTTGCAGTCTCCAAGTACCTTCTTCAGTGGGTACATTAAAGCTTAGAGAGAGAAAGGTGCACCAATTCTGGGTACACAGTGACTGGTTGGATGAGTGTACCTCTTTTTGCCAGAGAGATCTTGTACAGCTGGTCCAGCACTGCTGGTTCTTCTTTGAGGCTTCATTTGTGTGACATCATCGCGAACATGTGACCGCAAATTCCATACTATTCAGGTTCTGGTTGGCTGGCTAAGGATGAAGAGGTTGAAGAGTTGAAGAGGATGCATTCCATCCATTGACCAATCTGTGCTCCGAAATGTGTTGCTCCATCGTCCCGATCGTCCCCCCTCCATCACTCCATCGTCCAGGAGTCAAAGCCCCACTCGCCCAGCCAGTGCCACACCCTCCACACCACGTCGCATGGGTGCCACCGGCCCCACGGGCCGCGCCGTGAGCTCGTCGCCGCTACGTACACCCCGACAGCGCGAGCCGAAGAGCTTGTTTGAGGTGGCACAACCGCTTCTGGAACCGTCAAGTTGGATTTGCTTGGCAACTTTTTCAGGGTGTAGTAGAGGTGAGGTGCACATGAAAGCCCGAGTTTTGGTGGATGTGTTCTAACGGGCTGAGGGTACCAGGAATGGAACTTAACAAGCCTACGCTGTGTGTGTGTGTGTAGAGGTGCTGCTTGAAGCAGCTTGGTTTTTCCTGGTCCCTTTCTCTTTCCTCGACCACAGTTTCAAATCCAGGCACACCAGCAAGAACAGATGTTGTCCCGTAAGAAACCGCTTCTTCTTCGCGCTCCTGTCAGCCCAGGCACACCAGCAAAGAGAAGCGTGCCTTAGCACTGGGCGCCTTGTCTCGTTGTCTCAGAGAGGGCGCCTCTCCCCACCGCTGGGATGGCCCTGAGACACCCCTGAGGGCGGCCGTCGGCGCACAGAGCAGCGAGATGGCGCGGCTGCTGATTCACGCCAGGGCCGACCCCAACGAGAAAGATGCCAAAGGTGTTTGTGCAGCTTGGTGCTCTAAGGGGCAAAGCCAAGGGGTGTTGCCCTGTTGAAAATTTGTAGTTTGTTTGCATCTTCTCTCTTGGAGACTGTGGGAAAACATACCCCATCCGGCCACAGTGTAGACATGTGTACACTCATCAAAATCTCATTGGTTGGAGCTTGGGGAGGAATAGGGACCTGTCGACAGTCCTTTTTGTTCCTGGGTTAGGAGTGTGCAGAGTCTCAACTCACCATGCAGTCTCTTAGAGATGTAGGGGCCTGATTCGACTCCGAGGAGGAAAGAATGAATCGCTTCCGAACCTAAATCGCTTCTCATCTCGAACCCAGAAGTGTTTGGCAAATCTCAAATGAGTACTGGAAGCTGTTCTAGCAGTAATGTCCATGCCGTGAATGTCCTGAGGGCTGCAATTGGTTGTTTGAGAGTAAGGTACTTCATTCAGCCTCCTTCGATGGCCTAACAGACCTTTGCCAGACCCTGCTGAAAGGCAGAGCTGATGCAACTTTGCTGCACTCTGGTAGATTCCTGGTTGGGGCAAAGAAACTTGATCACATTTCCCGTGGAATATGTCTTTTGCAGGGGGGAGTTTTGCAGTCCCACCATTTTCTTGCATGGTGTCCATCGTTTCCAGACTTCCAAGTAGGTCCAAGGCGTTGTCCGTAGTACCTGCGCAATCCCACCACTCAAGGAGTCCGCGCAAGCCGCGATTTCGGCATCGGCAAGTGACCGGCATGTGACTGGCATGTGACTCATGGTGCGATCACCCAGGTTGGTTTGCCCTGGTGATCTTGGGCAAGTCAATCAGCAAGTCAAGATAGTCAAGGTCGCCCAAACACAACACCAATGGGTGTGTATGAAAATAGGGAAAGTTCCAAAGACCCCCCTGAAAGAAGGGAAATGGATGGAAATGGACCAAAACCCATTGGGTTGTGAGTTAAGTTGTGAGTCTCCCCATTAAATTACGCAGCAACGTGAACCCAAGACAACAGCACCCAAAGCTTCGCATCCCTTCGATCGCATCCGCGGATGTCGAAGCTTCAAGACTCCGCGAGCAACGACTCAAGGCGAACGCTGCAGATCAGCATGGGCAGACGGCCTTCTTTTTCGCGTGCGGTCACCTGGGAAGACCTCGGAAGACCTTGGAAGGGAAGGACGGGTTCCACCTCCAAGCCTCTTGTTAGGGGCGTGTTTTGTTTTTCACGTCTGTGCGAAGATCTGTAACCTGAAGGCCTCAGGTGTGCTCAGAGAACCTCCCATTGCTTGACTGTGTTCCATATGCCGCTCTTTGTGGGTGCAACAGGCCATGCAAGGTACAGGAAAAGACGATAGCAAACAAATCAGGAAACACTCATGCTTCACTATTGCAAGCAGATGAGATTCATTCCTTGACCTCAAGGATCCTCAAGGACTGTTTATGAACTCTCACACCTTTTAGGTGAGTTCACCAGATTTGGCCAAGAAAAGATGGCAGCAGAGTTGGGATGAGTTGGGTGTCCGTCGTGACTTGGCAGCCTCCAAACTCCTACAGCTTCAAAAAATCCGAGGCTCAAAGCATCCCCAATCCAGAAGCCGCAGCCGTGCCCGGCTGTGCTTTTCAGGCCCAGCAGTTCAGTTTGTGACATCCTTTTGGAGCACAAGGCGGCTGTAAAAACTATGGTGAAAGAAAGGTGGCGGGCCAGCGGGGATACCAACTCAATTGAGTCTTCAATGAGTATTCTTTTGTTTATCTCTTTTCTGTCGTTTGATAGTTTTGAACTTCTTTGGAAGAAAGCTAGGTTCTTGGGGTCGGGCCCGGGTGTCTAGTTTGCACGAGTCATTTTTCATTGCTGTTTTTCTCCGAGGAAGGAAGGGGGTGAAGGCACAGGAAAGTGGAATCTAGTGGTGAATTTGGTGGGCCCAAAAAAGAGGGCTTACATTTTGCAAGTGATATGTTGCGGAGGAGGAGAAGGGAACGAAAGGGGAAAGGATAGCGGGTACATGCTGTTCAACAGGAATGGGTCCGGAACAGCACAGGTCATCGAAGAGCAGAGGAGAAAAACGGAGCTGACAAGGGGTGAGAGGAGAGAAGAGTAGAGAAGGGGAACATCTGGGTGGCATCATGGTGGGGATGCATGCTTTTGCAGCCTGCCTCCGAAGCTCTTATATAACATTGAAGATTGTTCAAAGATGTTGAAAGCCCTTGAATTGCTATATCCTCAACAGTTTGGGGGCATATCGTCTGCAAGCTGTTGTTCCCATCTGTCTAAGCCTTTGAACCCGATACGTCCCCTCCAAGGGCATAATCGATAAAGAGCTGGGGCAGCTCAATTCATAGATCAGAAGAGGTGCTATGAGCAGAGGAAAGAAGGGATTCGGCTAGACCATCCACCTAGCAAGATATAGCCACATTTTGGCAAGTGCAGAAACAATGTTGGTCAATGCCTGGACTTTTGGGGGGGTAGTAAGTACCAAGTGGAAGATCCGACCTCTCGATATTTTTTGTCGATCCTTTTCGCCAGCCAACTGCTGATTGGTGTTTCTTTGGTTGCACATGCTTCGAAGATGATTACGATGCTGGGAGACCACTGCAGCTAGGTTGCGTAAGAAGCCTAAGATGAGTGCCAGCTTTGTGTGTCATATGGACAGAACGGTTCCAGCTTCTGTAGCGGCTGTCCTTCTCGAATCTCTTGGACAGTTTCACAATGTTATTGCTCGACGGCGCTAGCTTGCCTTCGGCGCTTGTGAGGGTTGAGCGCTTTTGGCGTCAAAGTTGTGCCGGTGCTTCGTTTGGCAACGTCAATGCCCCCCTGGACCAAGCTTCCCAATTCCAACTCAGGAATCACTCCAGGCAGGGAACCAAGAAATCAACCAGGTGGACAATCCCGAAAAACTTAATCCAGTTATTCAATCAAAGGATCTATCCATCCATCTATCCATCGATCTCACGCCTTCTCGACCCCGCTCTCGAGGAAAATCACCAGAGCCTCAGATCCACCATCCGATCTGCGTTCTGCGTTCAGCGATCGTAGAACAATCGGAATCCGTCACCCGGTGTCCGGCGACACATCTGTGCCCGTGCCCAGTAACTTAAGCACAGAACCTGAAATCGACCTCCACTTCAGTTACCTGGTGCACTGTTTCGATTCTTTAAACTCTATAAAATGCCCTACATGAGAATCCTTTCACTATAACAACAATCCCAGGCATCAGCTTTGGCCAAACTCATTGAACCCTGGAATTTACGACTTAAAGTGCGTTCTCAAAAAATACCCAAACATCTGGCTCCCCATAGCTATTCGTCCGGAGCTCAGGCCCCAGAAAGACAAGTAAGTGAGTTGACAAGATCCCACGAGGATGAGGAGACCATTAGTTGAGATGGAAAATGGAAACTGCCCAACGGGTTGGATCTACCAGTTTAGGCTTTAACCATTAATTAGTATGATGATGTTCCTTTTTCCGCTTCCACTTATTGTAGATTGAGGGCAAACGCATCACGTGCATCACGTGCTAGGCCAATGTCAATGCGGTGAACCAAAAGGGCCAGTCTCTACCTCAGATGGTCTTGATCTATTGAAACCACAAGCGCTTTATGATTCATGAGGTGGTCAGAATTTAGTGGAAGCGGAATCTTGGGGATTTCGCAACGGTATGGCAGTTGCAAGACAAACTCTTCCAATTCTGATCCTTGGTAGGTGTTTCCTGGTGATTGTTTTGAAAGCATATTCGGCATATCCCCTTCAAGCAAATCCACCTGGAAGTGTCAATCAAAAACTCTCGCTCCTTGCAGTAACTACCGAAAACAGTTGGAGTCGTTTCTTTCGACTGCGGTCGTTCAGGAACGATGGGTTGCTGTAGTCTACACGTGTCCCGTGGACGTCTTCCGTGGGTTGGCCGCTGCCCAGGTCACCGCTCCATTTGGCCAGCCGCGCGGGCCTCTCGGAGGTGCTGATGGGGTGGTGAAGGGGAGCTCTGAGGGACACGAAAATAGACCACGGGCCACCGGGAAATCCCAGGGGTCGGGTGATTTCGCTTCCCTTTTTTGGGGGGGTGTTCTGAACCCCGGGGGGCCCAAAAGATGTTTTGTGTTGTCCATTTCTTTTGGTGTTGTTCCTTCCCTGGTCTTTTCACTTCCTTGATTTGGTGTTTTCATGTGTTTCTGGTGTCTGACTGAGGTTGGTGACCGAATTAAAAAAGTGTGTGTACCTTTCTTTTTGTGCACTCATGTCTCTCAAAGCAAATGTTCATTTATTGCTGATTGCTTCCTATCGATATGTTGTTCTTTTACCCCAGTAGTAGATAAACTGCACTCTGCCAGTATATAGACAAACTTGTCGGAGATATTAGAAGACTGGATGCAGTAAAAGCAAAACATGTCATGTTGGTTCTTACTGCCTCGCCCTTTCCTCCGCCGGCCGATGCCACCTTGGGGAGCTCAACGTGCTCACGAGGATGGGACATTCATGGACATCCATATGACCCCCCCTCTGAACCATGGATTTGGAGGGGGTCTGAAAAACGTAATATGTTCAGACTCCCCCATCCATTTGGATGCAATTTACCCCCCTCCTTAGGCCAAGAATTGAGGTACATGAAGGGGCAGAGGGGTCTGAAAATGTAACATGATGCCTGCCAGGGATATAGCTACATCAGCTCCTTCCCCCCCCTATGTTCTTTTTGGGGGAGGGGGTTGGAAAACTGCAGGAAAGAAGAAAAGAACCGCTTCTTGTTTGCTTTTTAATGAAGCTGCATGAAGCAGGATTGAGCAACATTTAAAGCAAGAATCTTACACAGTCGTCCACTTGGCCTGCAAAAAATGTAACTTACATGTTCCGCAGATAGTTACATGTCTTGCATTGAAACATGTAACTTGTAGGACTATGCCTGACAGATGTCACTTACATTGTGTTTGGTATGTGTTAGAGGAATATGTAAGTTGCAATTGTTCAGGTCTCCCCCGTTAATGGGTAGGGCCGGTAGGGATCATACAACTTACTAATGGGTAGGGAACATTTGGTTTCAAGCGGATCGTTGCAACGAACGTACGCAAAGTGGTGCTGGAACACTGACGACTACATGCGCAAATGTTGCGCACAGTTGTTGTAGTTTCCACCATCAGATTGGCTGCGTGCTAATTGCTTCGGGCGTGCTCTCAAACGCAGCGGACCAAACAAACCATGGCAAGGTTGAAGTTGTCATTGCTGTCGTTGTCGTTGTGGTTCGTGTCCGTTGTTGTATTTTCCGTTGTCGCTGTTGCTGTTGATAGACCATGGCTGCTTGAACCAGCTATTGCTTGGCTGGCAGATTGCCTGGTTGTTGCCTTGCTTGCTTGTTTACTAGTTGCTTCCTTGGTCTCTTGGTTGGTTGCTTCGTTGCCTGGTTGATAAGTTCTTTGCCTGGCTTGCCTCAATTTATTGGTTGCGTTGCAGCTTGATCCCCTTAAAATATCAAGCAGGAAGAGGGGAGGGGGTGCAGGGAAGGACGCAGCGCCTCCCGCGCAATGTTTTCTTGAGGTGAATCAAGAATTTGATGGTATTTTTTCGGCTGGTGGATCGGTGGGTTGCTTGGTGGGTTGCTTGGTGGTGTTAAATACATACATAATGTAGACGGTAAGTTGCTCTACTGTTCAGGTGACCAAAATTGTTCACGGCATTGCATGGCGGTGGGTTGGTCGTTTGCTTGGTCCCTGATTGCTCGCTTTCAGGTTAGCTACGTGTGAATTGCTTTGGCCCTGCTCCCAAAAGCAACACTCAAAACAAAACCATGAAGCGAACCATGGGAACGTTGAGGTTGGTGTCGTTGTCGTTGTGGTTAATGGCCATTGTTGTCCTTGGCATTGTTGCTGTTGATAGCTGGTAGACTATGGTTTGAACATGCTATGGTATTGCTTGGCTTGCGGGTTGCTTGGTTGCCTGGTTGCGGGGTTGCTTGCTTGGTTACTTGGTTGCTTCTTTGGTTTCTTGGTGGGAGGCGGAGCTTTTGCCGTGCAATGCAAACGAAGTCTGGTGGGGCTTTGGTTGCTTCGTTGCCTTGTTGCTAGATTCTTTGCTTGGTTGCCCATCTCCTTCAAATCTGAAGTAGGAGCGGGTGTAAGCTGGGCGAGCCAAGCATTTGACGGTATTGGTGGGCTGGTGGGGTGTCGGTCTGGTTGGTTGCCTTCTTGCTTGATGCCGCTACGTTCGAATTGCTGCGGCCTTGCTCTTGCTCTCAAAAGACTGTGAAACAAACCATGACAAGGTTCAAATTCTCCTGGCGGTTTGTGGTGGGTCTTATCCCTGTCGTTGTCGCTGTCGCTGTTAATAGACCATGGCTGGCACATGGGATGTTTGTGGCTTGTGGTTTTTGTTGCCGATAATGTTCCTGCTCTCTTTCCCTGCTGCTGCTGCTGCTGCTGCTGCTGCTTCTTTGTCTTCCTGTATGTTTTTCTTCTGATTTGGCTTTTCGCTCTTGTCACATTCTTTCCAGCGATTCAATTCACGGTTGTTCACAATATGTGTTTTCACTTACTCTACTTGTGGCGACTTGTGATTCGACAACTCGTACACGTCGATATATATATATATATATGCGAGTTCACAGTGCAACACGATGCAGTCTGCAGATCACGAAAAAACATCACCACCTTATGCACATCCATGGGGATTCCTGCTCCCTGGGAACGATCAGCACGTTCCAGGAAACAACAAAATCGGGGAACAACAAGCCTCCTTACCATGGAACATTCCAACCTTGTGAGCTTGGGGTGAATGAGGAATAAATGGAAATGGATTCTTTTCGCACGTTACGTGGACAGCGCAAGAAGAACAACTCAAGGCCGTCAAGAAACGTCCCAAACGCCAGAGGTTTCTGTTTTAGATGTACCCCATGCTGAAGCCACCTGATCCCACCAAGCCGAGCACCAAAAACGGCCTGCAGGTTCTCATGTGGTTTGCGCCGCGGATCAGCCGGGAGATTGTGGACTTGTTTGGGCCCTGCATTCGATCACAGTAGCCTGTCGGGTTTTGCCGTTGCACTTTTGGGAAGAGGTAGGTTACGATAGCATTGGAAAGGCCTCATCACTTTAACTCATTCGCTCAAGTGGCCAGACTGGCTGGAAGATGTCCAACCTGCATAGGTTGATGGCAAGCTTTGCGCAGAACTCTGGAACGACTTCTGGCTTTATGTTCAATGATTTCAAGGCTGGCTCAAAATCCCATAAATGGAACCAGGGGGGCACGTGGCCAGCAGCAATAATGGCAAAGGGCTCTTCACAAGCAAATGTGCAGAAGAAGCAGGAGGAGCAGAAGGAGAAGGTGGGATGGATCACCATTTAAAAAAACTTGCCAACGAGGGTAATGTTGCAAAGACCTTTGCGGATGTGTTTTAAGTAAAGGTTGAAAGGAGGTCAAGGGCGATTCTTTTTCTGTTGACACAACTTCCTTCCTGCGTTGAGATCCGCGAACCATGAATGACTATGCGTTTGTCAAACTGAAGCACTTTGTGCTTGAGGTGTGGCTCTAAAGGGGTCGGTCTGCCCATGTTTTTCGAAGTCCAAAGGTCTGGCATGTTGAAAAGCGGATGGTAGAGTAACCCGTGGTGCTGGGATTGACACGCTGGCTGTTGCTTTGCCTGCTTCCCACAAATACTTTCACCTGATCACTGCATAGCTCAGGTGGCCCCAGCCAATGGCACACAGGGCATCTCACCACCCTGCCAGCGCCAAAATATATTTGTACTCGTAGAAGGTGTGCGCAGGACGGCCCCGACCTGTGCTGCAGGTCGCGTTGTACGCCAGAACAAGTTCATTGACAAATGCAACCAGGAGCGGGCCCCTCCGCCAAAGACAGGCGGCCCAGCACCTCTCCGAGCACGAAAAAGGTCAAATCGCCAAGCGCTTGTCGGAAGTGGTTTCTGGGTCTCTGCCACTAGACAAGCGCACGGCTTTTGTGAACTTCTTGGGCGAATGTCGTGATGCAGGAATAAACAAAGTATATGTAGAGAGCAGCCGTGTAGTTGCCCGTGACGCGTCAGTGGCGGAGGAATTTTACAAGCTCTCCAAAAATCTCGGTGTGACAATCGTCCCCGCAGACGTGCCGGCCCTGTACGACCACTGCCCCAACCCGGCACAGAAGTTCCTCCGAAGAGTCATGATGGCATTCACGGAGTTAGAAAAGGACCTCACGGTTCAGCGGCTCAAAGCCGGGCTGGACGTGAAGCGGCGAGCCGTCCAAACTGCTTTTAGAAACAAGCAAGCAACAGTTGGAGGCAAGCCAGTCCTTCGAACACAGCTGGGAAAGGCCAAAGTGAATGGTCGGGCTTCAACCTTGCAAAAGATGAAAGTCGCAGGCACCCTCACAGAAACACTGCTGAAAAGGCTAAAAGTAGCATGCGCCAAGTTCAAAGAAGATGGCAACCTGAAGGGCCAAAACGGCTTGCAGGCATCTCTTCAGCGCATGCTAAACATGCCAAAGCTTGGCTGTGAAACGGCCAAACGGATGTCCAAAGAAGTTGCATTTCTGTGAGAAGTGCTTTGCTAAGCTCAGGTAGCGCAGGGGTGGTGGAATTTTGGATTGGTTTTTGAAGGGGCTTATCCAAACAAAGCAGCGCCAACAATCAAAAGCTTGCACAAGCTGCCCATGTTCGCAAAGGCTTGCCAGGAGGGTGTTTACTGGACTCACCTCTGAGGCGGGACATTCACGGGGCCACTGCAGCCTATTATGCACGGCATGCTGGTGTCAGCGCGGACTTTTTGACAAAGCGCGGCAGCCCAGACAGACATTGAGCAGGCAGCTGCATGTGTTGGTTTGCAAGCTATAGGCCCCAAGCACCTTGTGCCGCCCATGTTTGGTACCCAATATTGAATTGAGACATCGCCCCGTCAAGTCATAGACAGACCCGGTTGAAGGATTATTTTCCTGCTGGCTCGATTTTCCCACCTGCTCCCTGCATGTGCACCGGTAACTTGCCAGTTGCCGTTGGTAGGGCCTGTCACTTCTGCAGACTCTGGCCGTGGGCGGCCCGCGACAGGCACAAGCTGAGCACCATTGATGCCGCAAGTGAGCCAGCAACATCGTCGCTTCTTGGCCCACAAAACGCTTGACCGGCGTGTTGGCGCCTTCAGGAACTGCACGCGCAAAACCATTTGGCCTCCATTCTTGTCATCAGGCAACACTGAAAGTTTCTTGTCTAGGGGCGCGGCAACTGTATATTCTGTTATCGCATTCTGCCGCTGAAAGCCATCAGCTCTGGCTGCAGGCGCAGAGGGGCACGCTTGGAGGAGGCAGGGTCCACCCCGTCTAAGAAATGCAATAGCGTGGCTCTTTTGAACCAATCAGTTAGACTCCGGAAGCCGCAACAATGATACATCCGGACAGTGAGCAGAACCTTGATTTAGCAATGTGGTGGTTTAATTTGAACGAGTTGCATTTTGTTCCAAAACCCATGTGATCTGCACAGCCGCCCAGTGGGATCTGAGAGTTGTATGGTAATGCAGCTCGTTTCATTGTAGCTTAAATGGGTTCCCAATCCATGAGATCTTCACCTGGTGTTTGATGCAACCCCGTATCAATACCCATTGGTTTCCGCGAGGTAAATGATTTGCTGGGTTGAAATCTGCCTACAAAAAATTGCAACAAGCGTGCAAGTTTGCTTTTATGCACCCTGCAGGACAAGGGTCGACCCCGTTGGGAATCAGCACGTCCTCCCCTACCTCCACTACTCGAGGTGCAGGACGGTATGGGAATCAAAAATGAAGGACATTGAGGACTTTATCCCATCACACGCCCTTTGGCCAAGTTTGGCACCAATGGCGGATTCATGTCTGCAGCTGATGTCACTAGCTAGTAGATTGTTTCACACGCGGGGTTTTGCGCAGATTTTGGCGATCTTAACTGCCTTCAATGGTTGTAATGAGCCTGGAAAGGGGTTGCAGTGTGTATTGGTGCAGGTGAATCTTTCCCAACAACTAATTGAATTTAGGCGTTGACTGGTCGTTGTTCTTATTAGGCGGAAATCGTTCCAGCAGCGAGGGTTGAATCTTCTATGTGTTTTTGGCCCCTGACACAACTAACCTGCATCAAAGGTGCACTTGTCGCATTGCATTGCTGTGGCTTTAGCCTACCAATTTTTCTTCCAACGCCTTGGCATAATGCGTTGGCCATTAGTCTGGGACTAGATCCATTCAATTGTGCTGAAGAATACCAAAGTAAACCATTGCTCATCACGAAAGGTAGCGGTTACGCTACCTGAGTTTTCCTTTTGCTTTAGCAAAAATATATTAACCCAGAGCTGCAGCCTATCTCTCGGAGAAATGGTCCCCGACATCTTCGTTTGCTGGCCGGGGGGGGGG